TATATATATATATATATTATATATATATTAGTATATATATATATATATATATATATATATATATATATATTACAAATCCGCCAATGTCCCCACGGTAACGTCTCCGTCGAATCCGGTACGATGTATCGTTTGTCGTCGTACGGATTCAGAGCGATTTTCGACTCGGACACCGTGTATACTTAGTGTAGCTTGGATCTTATACATGACTGGCGACGAGTCATTTCGATCTCTTCATTCAAGCACCGCGTGTAATCGTCGAACGTTATTGTTCGCGCTACGATGTTATTTTTTACACCTTTCGCCTTTTTAATGTCTTTTCTGTCGTCCACCCTCACCGCGTACATCTTCGCTCTGAGTCCGACGAATTCTGTCATTATCGCACCGTTATTCTCATCCTTCATTAGACCGGGTACTTTTTTATTCACGAAAGGCATCCCGTACGCGTTGTCCGGTGGATAATCGCTCGTACCGAATTTAGCGATATCGCATTTCATCGTCTCGTACACATCGTCGCACTGGATGTGGTATACGAGACTGTCCGTGTCGATGTTCATTACATTACATTACTTTACATTTCTCGCGATACAGCGGTGACATGTATTCGTAGTGAAATTCGTACAAGTAAATTTTCGATATGTCGAGTATACATATACCCACGTAAATCGGTTTGTCAAATTTCACTTCGAGTTTACGCAGTTCGACGGCGATTAAGTTTTCCGCAAAGACGCTGCGGCTGTAGAAATTTGGTTTCGCGATTATTGCTTTCGCGCCATACCGTCCCATTTGGTCAAAAGTTTAACGTCGACGTGATTGCGCACATTTTCCATTGTTTTACCGAATACCGCGTTGTTCATTAATTTGTACAAATTTTTCTCAAAATCATTTTTCGCGCACGTTCTAAAGTGTGTATTGAGTTCGATGTAATCGCGGAGCCAGGCGGATTGAGCAAATTGTAGTACGCGATATATCTTTGCGATACGAAGACCATGGCGCGTACATTGCTGCAGGTTGCGATAATGGATGACGTACCGCTTCTTATCGTATAACGTCGCGAGAAGTTTATCCTGCCGCGAGCCGGGTGATTTATCGCGCGTCGGACAGAAAGGTAGGTCAGTGTGTCGATCGTGCAAATGATGCGGACTCGAGATACTCGAGATCGACCTCGAGAATATAACCCGTAGACGAATCCGGAGCGATCGCGCTCGCATCAAAGTTCTCAATGTCTTCCATCCATCGAAATTCGGCATAGGACAGCGGTTGACACATCGCCCATCCGTACAGATTATTTACGTCAAAGTACATAAGGTATGATGACGATTTCGACGAGCGTACGAACGCATGTACTTGTTATTGGCCTGCGCGTATCTGCCGGAACATTGACTAAGACCGCCGCGTATACTGCGTTCGATAAAAATAACCATATCGATGTCGGTGAGCAACTCAAATTTTACGCGCATATGTTTCAACACGGCATCCCACGTGAAACCTGGCAATGTGTAGTAATGCGCGGGATCGAGTCCATAACTCGCGATGCAACTTTCGCGGAAATTTTCGAAAACGTCGACCAATAACAAGACATCGGTCTTGAGATATAGATCGCTGTATTCGTCGAGCGTTCGGATGGAAAACCGCCAGACATTCGCGGCGTGCGCGTAATCGTTCTCCGACCGTGTCACCGGTCAACGAGCTATAGAACGATTTTCGCGGTGGTAGATGCGTGTCCTGCAGCTTGTCCGCGCGATCCACGTATTCGTACGGAAAGACACCTTTGCGCGTCAACAAGTCAAAATCTTCGTTTGATATCGTGGAAAATTCGGAACGTAAAATTTTTAATTTTTCTTTCGTTAGAAAAGATGCCAATTTATCAAGGCTGGTATTTAAAAATTTGTACAAATCTATGAACCGCAAGCGTACGCAATTTCGCGAATCTGATCTCTCGGTGGTATCTTGAACGTGTTTTGTAAACGAAATATATTTTTCTTTTGTTATCGGCAGCACGTCGCTCCTGCCTTCGAACGCCGTAGCTATTTCCGTAATGATAAAGTGCGCGTCATAACCGGATAAGTTGTGAAATATTATGGGAATGCAATATGAATCTTTATAATTTAGATTACAATTTGAGTGCGCGGTAACGACCGGTATGATCGCGTACCCGCGTGTCGTCTGACGCAAATGGTTTCTCGCAAATGTGACAACGCGTCGCGCTACGATATGCCTCCCACTGCTCTCTCGACAATGTTTCCATGGGGACATTCGCGGATAACAGAATTTTTACTTGATGCGCCAAACTCTTCGAGTTGCCGAACGAACCACGCAACGCAGTCTTCGCCACGACGAAATCGATATACCGATAACGCGTCGTCGTACGAGCATCGCACGTAATAGCCGATGCTAAATACCTCGTGCTGCTGGTAGGTATACGATGCGTCTTCCCTCTCTGCCGGTTCCATTCGCCGTAGTACGCACTCTAAGTCCGCGTAAACGATGAAAGTCGTTCCTTATTCGTGTGTGGTTCTTGAATTCGAGCCACTTGTCGTCCTCGCTCGGCAGTCGGATGGCGCAATCGTTTATCTTTTCGCAGTCCGTTGTATGTGACTGCAATCTTTCAGACGAACTAAAGTAATGTAGACATCTGCAAACGGAAAATATTTTTAATAAACAATTTTATAAGTGAATTTTATAAGAGAAATAATAAAATTTGTTAAAATACATACTGGTCGCAAAAGTATTTCTTATGTCCATATTTATTCAGTTGCGAGCTCACAAGACGGGACAGATCTTTGATGTACGCAAAGTGCCCCGCAGTGTCGTCGCGCGGATCCTGCATGTACAATAGATTTGCGTGTTTCTCCATCTTGATGTCAGCCGTATCGGAAGAATCTCCTTTTTCTTGATACCGTTGATAGATGTTGATTGAGATGTCGTTGAGATGTTCGAACTTCTTAATTTGATTCAACGTCATCGGAAATGTAATGTCTTGCAAATTTAACACCGTATAATGTGGGTACGACAATTCCCGATTTGTATTCCTTTCAGCCGGATGCAGAGCCGCGACCACCGACCACGCGAAACACGCATTGTCATTGGATCGTACATTGATCACCGCTCGCTTTAACATAATTTCCCGCGGTAATTCGATGTAACATCCCGCGTGCATTGGATTATATTTATTCACGTTTACAGTCAAATTTAGAATTCGCGACAACGCCCATCCACTGTCGCGTTCTTGGAATTCTTCGAGCGACGCCAACGTGGGTTCGATAACGTACTGCTTGTACCACTCGTCCAAATTTGACACTCGAAAGAGTTCACTATTTTTAGTGTTTATACTTTTGTTCGCGCGTTTATCGCCCGTCACAAACTCGCCGTTAAATGCAATGTTCACTTTCACACTATCGTGTCTTTGTAGAATATCTCGCACTCGCTCGAGCACTACACCACTAGCATCTTCTAAAAATTGTCACGGCTCGATATAGTCCACATTGATCACCGCATCAATCAATATACGGTTTTCAAACGCCGTATCGATGTCTCGCCAAACGAGAGATCCAGTGTCTCTACTCGCGTACTCACCACCAACGTGCACGAAACGTCTTTCTAGTTGTACTTTTGCACCCGCAAGTCGCGATCCTCGCCACCGCAGATTGTCTATTTGCAACGGTGAGTCGAGGACGTTTAACACGGCTAAGTTCCTCGAGTTGTTCGATGCACTCCTCACATCGTTGCAACCACGCGAAACACTCCACCAAGGTAGCGACTTGACTGCACTGCTCTAGCAGCTCGCGTTCCACTCGCTCTAGGTGTTCCATATTGCAAAATCTTGATTCTTTTAAATTATTGTTGTACTCTCTCATCAAAACAATTTTACATTTTTTTACTTTCTTTTTTTCTTTTCTCTATAGCTGTTTTAACTCGAAGCCAGTATATAAAGCGTTGTATTTCCGACATGTCCGGAGATTGATGGAAATAGAACAACCATATATGATTATCCTCGCTTCTTGGAATTATCTCTGCTACTTTTTGCCGCGAGAGAGGTAGTAATATATTGTATGCGTGTCCTCTATAATGATAATATGTGCACGCTTCCAGAATTATTTCCGCTCTCTCAGAAGGAGCGGAGAAGCAGAGAGTCGAATTGTAGCGTCCCTTTCTTGGATTCTTGGAATCGGGAAATGGGGAGTTGAGGTATAGTGTCTCTTTATAAAATACACCGCCACGTTCACTGGTAGATGAGAGATTGAATTCCATAATGGAGAACTTGTTAATTCTTCCAATGACCTTTCCATATTGTTTTTATATCACATTACACTCTTCTACTTGCATATGCCTCGTTCACAATGTTCTTTTTTCAATTTGTGCAAATTGGGCACATGTTGCATGGCATTATCACACAGACGGACTGTTGGCAATTGGAGCAAAATTGGGCTGTTTAGCGCATTGAGAGTATCTATCTCGTGCTTCTTAACGGCATACAATACTCCAATGTCAGTGTCCACCAGACGAACCATGCATTCAGCACACAGAGTTAGTGCACCACCCGTTGAATAATAAAATTATATTGAACAATACTTTTTATTATTATTCAACGCAAGGAGTTCCGAACAAGTAACAATTTTTTCTGCGTAATCCGTAAGGTCATCACTTTGATCACTTACGTAATTGCTATCGTCAGACAATGCGTGCTCTTCGTCTTCAATATCAATGTCAATATTGTCAATATTATCAATCTCCATTTCTTCTTCATTTTCAAACATTTCGTCCACTATATTCACAAAGTCTTCATCATCCATATTAAACACATTTTCTATATTTAACACATTATCCATTTTCACCGTCAACTATTTTTTCCCACACATTAGACTTCCATCTACTGTGATCCTGTACACCCCATGACCCATTATATATCATCGACAATTTTTTTGTCCTTTTGTTGTTTTTTTCGGAGTCATCATCATAGGTCTCCCCATTTGTCTATAGCAGCCGGAGTATCAGCGCTTCTCTTGACACGCCGCGATACGCCGCGACACGCCGCGACACGTATGTCGATTTCCACGAAAAAAAACCATCATAAATCTCCCCGATTTGTTTATAGTAACCGGAGTATCGGCGCTTCTCTTGACACGCCGCGACACATACGTCGATTTCTACGAAGAGCTATCTTTTCGCGGGCTCTTCCTAGAAAAAAATTTGAAACGTCATCGCGCTCCTTTGCGAACATGTCGTTACATGTTTGATTGCAACAATGAAATTCCTAGAAAAAAAGGGGGAGGAGGGGGGGGTTAACAGTTTGCCATGTCAAAAAATTTACGCG